CGCGGTTATCCGTCTGGTATTTTGGAGAGGACTGTGTAACATTGGAAAAGGGCCTTCGCCATGTTTAATTAACGCTACGCTTCATCAGAATAATAAAAACTTACAATTAAGAAATAATGTTAATATATTATTTTATTTTATTTTTTTGGTATTAAGGTGACCTCTTTAGTCTAGTAACTTTTTATTAGTAATTATTTGCTATTATAGTACAATGAAGATATAATTAGCTATATATGCATCTTTTGAATACCTATTTAAGTAGTCTGCCTACAAGTTTTATACTAGATATCATATCTATAACTCAACTAGGGAGTTATCTATTTAATCTTTCTAATTTTAACTATTTTTAAGCATATTATACTAATCTAAAAACTACTATTTGGCCTATTCTACTAGATTGTACAATCTAGCCTTAGAACTTTTGTAACTTATTCCAGATTTGTACTAACTATTACTAGCTTGTATTTCTCTATTAAGTAAATACATGGCTATCTTTGAGATAAATTTATCAGAGCCTTCTTTATCTTATTCAGGCTAATTTGGTTTTATACAGTTGCCAAAACTCCTACTCGCAGTTAAAATTATTTTTATTTAACTATTTTTACCTTATAAAATTTATTTCTAATTCTAGTACCTGTATTCAAACTTTTCTTTTTCTACTACAATATTTCTTTATTAGTTCATCTCTTACTTTCAAATGATAATCTAGAAAATTCGATCTTGACTTGGTTTTAGATACTAGTACTTTTGTTTTATTTTGATATATGATTTTCCAGTACATGTTCTTTTTCTCCAATTTGATAGATTAGTCCTTCAAATATACTTGGTATTTTTCTATTAGTCATTTGACTTTTATAGCTCCTAGTCATGGTAGATAAAGCCTTTACTACTAGTTTCTATACTAGTTAGCCAAAGTTGATATATTTTGTAATATCTTACAGATTTTCAACTTCTTAAATTGGTAGTTAGGTTGGTAAATCTCCTTACTAAAGGATCTTGTTGTCATTTAGTTCTCTAATCTTGATTTTAACTTCCAAATTTGAGTCTTTCCTGTAATACCATCAAAGATCGTAGCTACTTCTCACTTGGGTCTTCTTAAACAAGTTTTTATTATCTCAGTTTCTTGGCTTTTTATAAACCAAAGCTTCTATATAAACATAGTGCTACCAAGATTACAGGTTCTAGGACCCAACTGATCAACAGATAATTGTTACTATAACATAGTCTTATTTTTCAAAATCATTATTTGTAAAATTTAAACTTTGAATCTGCCATTTGGTAGAGTGATGACTAGACCACTTCATTAAGCTGCTATATTTTAATATACTATTTTATTTATAGTATACTTTTTTATAATATATATATTTGATATTATATTTTTTTTAATAATTTTTTTTCTAAACAAGATATTTCTTTAACAATTATTTCTCTAATATACTGTATAATTTTAACTAATATTAGCTATAAATCAGGCTAATTTTATATTAAGAAAATAGAAAAATACCTTGTCTAAAAAAAGAATCAAATATTTTATTAAATAAATATATTTTAAATAAAATAGTATATTAGTATTATAATATTAGAGAATAAGTTAATAGTAAAGTAACTTTTAAGAAATTAAGCAATAACCAGCAAAAAAATCTACCAATTAGATTAACAGAATTTTATTAGAAAAAAATATATATATTTTAAAAATATAAGATAGGTATGCTTAATTTGACATAGTATCTAATTTGGCACATTCATGATATCTCATGATCCATTAATTGGAATCACAAGATATTGCCGTTCGTGTAAATTCTCTTTTTCTAAAAATCTTGACCAAAAAAGAATCAACATATTAAAGATCAATTTTATGTATTAAAAAATCAAACTTGCTATATTAATTATTGTTTATATTAATAAATTCTACATATTTTCTAATTATAATGACACGTTAATAAGATAGTCATAATTAATTTGGCACATTTTATTAAGATAGCAATTTAATTGATACTTGGGCACATTTAGTTAATCCGGTTCCAATTTGGGTAAATTTAATAATTGCATATTTGAGCACATTTAATTATACTACTTTGGTTCAATTCAGATAACTTTTTAAGACCAACATATATCTCCTCTCATTTAATAATTGCATACTTGGGCATATTTAATTACTACTTGGATTTAATTTAGATAACTTTTTAAAACAAACATAATTCACCTCTTTATATTTAATAATTGCATACTTGAGCATATTTAATTACTCTTTCAGTTTCAATTTGGATAACTTTTAAGATATATTTAATCTCACAGCATGTTATTTTCATTAAAATGTATGCAAAATATCACAAAACATAATGCGTACAAAATTATAAAACTCAATTAAAGTAAATACCCAATCATGTAAAATAAAAAAAAACTGCATATTTTAAAATTTATTTGGCTCAAAAAAAACAAATGACTTGATTGTAAATATTTATAAATATCACATATTACCTTAAAGTGTATCATTGTGTATAATATAAAAAACTAAGCATAAAACAATAAATAATTAAAGTTAATACTATTACTAAGTAAAAAAAAAAAAAAAAAAAAAAAAAAAAAAAAAAAGAGAAAAAAAATTAAAAATGTTTATTGTATTCTTAAATTCTAATATAAAATTATGCCAAAATATAGCGACTATACAACCCAATATAATATTATTAATAATACTCTTAAAGCAATTAAAGACTCACCAAATAACTTGGTTCCAAGTACCAAAAGTGTCACACAAAACTATAGTCTTTCAGAAACTACCTCCAGACATACTATCAAAAATAGTAGTCCTCTCACTTATCTGGGCCATGCCAAAATTTTAACAAACTATGAAGAGAAGCAGCTTGTGTGTTACTGCTTAAATATGCAGAAGCTTGGCTTTGAGTTAACAAGGTCTGGTGTAAACCAGTACATTATGGATATAGTTTGCCAAAGTAGATGGCCCTATTCTTTTAATGACAATAGACCAGGGCAAAAATGGTGGCGTCACTTTATGAAAGCCATCTAGAACTGTCATTTCATATTCTACAAGTTCTAAATAAAGCCCATGCATAAAAAACAAATCCTGTTACAGTCAACTTCCGCAATAGTCACATCCGTTTTTGTCACAATCGCGCTATAATCACCTAATTTTTTTGATATAATTTTTTTATAATAAAATTAGCTCGCAATTATCACATCTAATATTAAATTTCATAATAGTCACTATCACACCAAATCTAAGATGTGATATATAGTATGCTTATATAAATTTCGCTCACTATAATCACTTCAAAGTATGTAACCTTAAAAAGCATTGCATGTACCATAGAAAGAATTTATATGATTGGCTGTTTAACCAATTTAATTTTATATTTTTATATAGTTTAAAGTACATTTTAAAAAAATCAAACCTACAAACTAATAAAAATAAGTATATAGAAAGTTCTATTAGGATTTTAGGACTTCATTATTAAAAATAATCAATATTATCTTTTATTTTAGCATAAATTTATTTATTTTTTAGAAGTCATTATTATGCTAACTTCTCTAAAACAAAAAGGGATTCATTTCTTATGATGTCTGCGCTAAAATTATAATATCTACACTTCTAACTTTGACTCATATATGCTTTCCATGGCCAACTCTTTCTATCAAGTTTATGCAAGAGTATATACACGACTAGAAAAATTCACATGGGTTAAGCTATTAAGGATACATAAGAATGTCTTATATTGTAAAGGTAGGATTAACATGGTTATGATGGTACGTATGTACATGAATAAACAGACAAATATGTATGTACGTACATGCAATACAACTGTGTGTACTATAGTATATATGTATATACTATAATTAACTTTATATTACTATATCATTTTGCCTTTTAAATTATATTGATATACGAATTGACTTTGGTTAGATTCTATGTGCAAGCTATTTTTTTTTCATTGCCGTTGAGTATTTAATACGTAACAATGATATATCTTGAATACTTAGCGATTATAGTCGCTTTTTCATTAAACTTAGCAATAAGAATCACATTTTTTTTTTTTATACCATTGGGCTGTATTTTTTTTTTTAAAATTTTACAATGCCTAACGATAAAAAAAAAAAATTAATCAGTAAAAGCCGTACCAGACTTATGGCCATACAAAAAAAACAAATTCAAGAAAAAAAAAAAGAAAATCCTAATCTACGAGATGAGGAAATTGCTGCAGAATTCCAGTGCGATCGAAGCACAGTATCAAAGATCCTGAAGCAAAAACAATGGTCTGATATAAGTGAAGTTTCAAAAAATGCAAATGCATTTAAAACAACCAGTCCTAAATTTCCTCAGATTGAACAAGCCCTTGGAATGTGGATTGGTACTGCTGAGCAAAGGCAACTTATTCTTATAGGAGAAGTAATTCACCAGAAGGCTCTTGAGTTTGCAGCATTGTTAGGAGTTCCAAAAAGTGATTTTAAAGCATCTGATGGTTAGTTTTCACGATTCAAGGCTAGAATGGAAATCCGAAACCATCGAATTCATGGAGAAGCAGAGAGTGCCCCGATAGAATTTTTGCCCCAATTTCGTGAAGAGCTAAAAGATCTCTTAAAGTTATATGAACCCCGAGACATTTTTAATGCAGATGAATGTGGTCTGTTTTATTGTATGGAACCTAATACTTCACTTCTAACATCTGCGCGAAAGGGTAAAAAAAAAAAAAAAGTCGAGAATTACTGTTGTTTGCATGTCCAATGCAGATGGTACTGAAAAAATCAAGCCTCTGGTTATTAACAAGTCCCGTATGCCATTGGCATTTCACTATGAAGGAATTACATCACATAACCAACTTCCTGTTGATTATTATCATAATGAAAAGGCGTGGATGCGTCAAGATATTTTTAAGGTTCTATATTGTTGTTTGATATTTGCTTCTTTACAAAAATCTGATAATTTCGAGTTATGCAAATATTTGCACAATATATAGTGCATTATTGGTACTAAGTTAGCGATTTTTATAATTTATTGCAAGATTATTTCATTATCAGCGCCTTTAAATATCTAATAAATTAGTTAAATAATGGTAATGTTTAGGCCTTTATTATTACTAAAATATTGATAATATGTTACTAATATTAGCATTTTATTAGCATAATAATTGACAAATATATTTATAAAATTAAAATATAGTAAGAAAAAGCTATTAAAGTGCTTATATTTGCAATAGTTTGTATGTTAATAGTATATTATGAGCACTGTTAAATTGCTGATCTTTAGCAAGTTCAATTTTGACAAATTTTTATAAAGTTTATTTTAGAATTACTAGTTATTATTTTCTTTTTTTTTTATTTATTGTTTTTTTCTTTTTTTTTTTTTTTTTTTTTAGAAATTTCTTAACAATCTTCAGACTATATTCCAAATTCAAGACCGAAAAATTTTATTACTTGTGGATAATGCCATTTTCCATAATGTTGATAATCTTGGAGATTACTCAAATATCTGTGTGCATTTTCTTCCCCCCAATACGACTGCTCATCTACAGCCGATGGATGCTGGAATTATTAATGCCTTTAAATTACATTATAAGCGTCTTTATATTAACCAAGTAATTTGTGATTTTGATAGAGGTGTTGAGGAACCAAGCAAAATAGATATACTTCAGGTGGAGTTAGTGATTATTAATTAACATTATCAATTTTATATTACTTAGATCGCATTTGTAATTTTAATAAATAATAATTAGTGTCGCGGCTGATGCTGGAAACGGCTAAAGCTGGTAATTTTAAATATTTTAATATGAATTTTTCAAAATTTTTTTGGACCATTTTTTTTAGCTATTTTTCATGATTAGGTTAGGATTTAGGATTAGTTTTGATAATGAAAGAGTATAAGTGAATTTTTACAGTGTTTATATTTTTAAATTAGGGTCCCTGATTTCCAGCTTCAGCTATTTCTAGCATTAGCCGCGACAATTAGTTATGATAAGCAGTACTATAATTATTAATAATACCGGGTGTTTGAAATTTCCTAGAATAAATTAATCATTATTAATTTTGTTTTGCCTATCTTTAGGCAATACGGTTAGTAAAAGCTGCATGGGATGCTATAAGCACAGAAACTTTAAAAAATTGTTGGCATCACACTGGAATCTTACCTAGCCAACATCTTGTTAAAATTTTCTCAGAATTGGAACCAGAGCCTAATGAAGACCCTAAAGCTCAAATCATTCAAATTCCTGAAATTATTACAACTTAACATGAGGCCCAAGAAGTTATTGACCTAACTGAAGACCCCCACCTTCGACGACTCACCCAAGACTATCTTGATGATGATGAGCCTATTGAGACTGAAGAAGCTTTGGATGATGAACGAATCATAGAATTGGTTAAAAACCCAATTGTTAATGATAATAGGTCTGATGACCAAGTAGATGAAGAACCCAAAATTACCTTTGCAGAAGCCAAAAGCAGCCTCAACCAACTTCTTACCTTTATCCACCAGCAATCTTTCCAGACTGATAGTTTTATTAAAGAAAATGATGAGTTTTTTTTTTATGATTTTCTTACCCGAACACATCAAGCTTCCACCAAATTTATGAAACAAAGCACTCTCGAACATTTAATAATCCGTGAACATACTGATCACCCTTAATTCTATAATCAACGTGGAATTAAAGTATAAACATAAGGCAGTTATTTATTGCCAAAGTCTAGTATAATTTTATTAATATAAAATTATAGTTGAAAATTAAAAATGTAAGGTATTCATTTATTATTATAAATAAAGCATATGGAGGCTAAGCAATTTTGTCTTTAATTTTGGGACTTCAAAAGGCTTATTTATTACTGTATAAGTGTCTATGTCTTGTGCTATAATTGTTACGATAAATTTCACTGATTTTCTAGTTAAGTCGCATTATAAAATCTACATCTAAAACTATTCATAATAAATAACACACTTTTGTTAGTAGATCATATAGGTAGGACTAGTAATTTTAAAATATTGATTTAACGATTCAATAAATGGGCGTTGCAAAATGAAAGCTGAATAAAAAAAATATAGTGCCGTACCATCTCGAAATAATGCCCCAGGGCGTTATTTCGAGAGGCTTAATTTATTAATTAATTTGTTCGAAGATTTTTCTTAAACTTTAATATTAAATAGATAGTAAGTTTAAAAAACATCTTTGGCCAAATTAACCATTGACTTGTTTTAAATTAGACCCCTCAAAATAATGCCCTGGACGTTATTTCGGGATGATATGGTATCTAGTAGAGAAGTAATATAAGTATGTACTACAAAATATTTATGTAATAGAACTAGAACGCTGATTGTACACGTATTTTAATACATACTTCCTAGTGAAAATTTATTTTTATATAGGTTTTTATTTTGTAGCATTTAAATCTAAATTTATATGATTTTTCATATTAGTCACAAACTTGCAATAGTCCTATGAAATTCCTGATTATACGATGTGACTATTGCGGAAGTTGACTGTATCATTAAGAATCATTTCAACAAACTTTAAAGAATTATTAAAGAATACTTACTTACTACTAATCATATTTGGAATAGTGCAGTCTTTTTTTTTTTTCTTTTATTTCTTTTTTTTTTTTCTATTTTTTTTTTTTATTCTTTTTTTTTTTTTTTTCTTTTTTATTTCTTTTTATTAATTTTTTTTTCTTTTTTTTTTTATTATAATCTTTTTTTATTTTTTTAGAATGAAACTAGTTTCATTATCAAACCAAAGCTCTAAAAGATTATAGCAAAGAAGGAAGCATGTCAGGTCCACTGAGTTTTGCATAGAAGTTCTTATGAGCATATTTCCATATGCCCAACTATTTCAGTAGCTGACATATACATCCCACTATTGTTTATTTTTAAAGATAAACAAACAATCCTGGATCTTCTAAATAGCATACTTGTTAGCTTTGTCATGGAGTTCACTGAGATGGGATACATACATGAGAGCCTATTTCAAAAATACATAAAATATTTTGTTAGTTTTATTTTACCTGCATATCCTGTTTTGTTTATTCTACATAGTTATAAAAGTCACATCAATTATATTAGTGTCAACTTTTGTTATGAGAATAGTATACTTCTTTATACACTTTCCCTTCATGCTACTTATATTTTACAGCCAGCTGAATTACTATTTGCTAATCTAAAAAAAAATATATAATAATGAATAAGAAAAGTTTTGAATTAACAATAAGAGTAAACTTGTGAATAAGTATATGTTCGCTAAGATATTAGAACCAGCCTATATTACAACCTATAAATCTACTGCTATATGTAATACCTTCAAAACTACTAGAATTTGGCTATTTAACCCAAATGCCATTAGTCCTAACTGTCTGGATCCCTCATTAACAACAGAATATACCATTCATTACCTTACAAGTTTCTGAACAATTAACTTCATCTTTACAATCTTTTGAGTTAGACCCAGATTATATACATCTTATCCAGCCACACCCTATAAACAAAGAACTAGTATCAGAAACTGTGTTACTTAAAAAAAGAGTTAAAATATTAGAAGAAGAACTTGAAACCTTTAAAAAACTGGTATAAGTTCTTTGAAGTTGATATTTAAATATCCTTTCTGGAATAATTTGCAACTGACTGAAGATCTAGAAGCTGAAGAAAAATGATCTGAATTAGTGCCACCAAAGAAAAAAAGAAGAAAAACTATGCCCTTCTCTCAGCTTTTTACCAATGAAAGATCCTTACAACAATTAAAAGAGGCAAAGGAAAAGGCCAAAAGAGTGGCCAACAAAAAGCAGTATAAAAAAGAGATAGCTACCTAAAAATAAATAGTACATGAGGCTAAGAAGACACAAAAACAAGAAGCTCGGAGGCAAAAAAAGGAGGAGGTTGAGCATATGAAGGCAGAAAAGTAGCATAAATAGCTTGAAAAGTAAAAATTTTAAATTTATTGCAGTGCATCAATTAAGAACAATTTCTTGATAATTTCGATTTATGATAGAATTTATATAATTAGATAAAGATTGTTTTTTTTATAAATAAAGATTTATTTTAAGTCGAAATATGCTGAATTAAGTAAAAACTTGCAAATTTTTATAATAATTCTATAAAGACTTACTATAAGTACATTTAACTGCACCAAATTAGATATATCTACCTTATACTAAGAGATGACAATCTAAAAAGTATCTAAAACTAATCTTGCTAAGCTATTTAGATTGAAAAGCTAATAAAACCAAAAATACAAAGCAAAAAGATAATAAGAAATAAATATTAGAATTTAAATATTAAATCTACAAGAGCAGAAGTAAGTAACTATCACTTAAATTGTAACACAGGCAAATTTGCCTGCATTTTTATTAAAAAGTTTAATTTTTTTTAATAAAATCTTATATCTTGATTTTAGCTATATATTTTCTAAGTAAAATATTTAATTTTAGATTTGTTTTATTAACTTTATTAAGAAAATTTTTTAAAATTATTAAAAAACTTTAGTATAATAAAAGTTTAAAGTTCTTGTATTAAAATTTTACTATGTAATTTTTTCTTTAAACTTTCTTAAATTTTATATATTTTGAGGTAATAAAAAAAAACTCTTTAGTAGATCATCAAAACAACAAAAATTAAGAGGAAAACACTTGCAAAAAATACAAAACAAATAATTTTTATATATATTTTTGGCCCTTTGGGCATACTAAGTATTGTCGATTAGACCCCAAGTTATATACACAAAGTTGAAAAGAGACAGAAATGTATTACTCTCTACTCCCGAAGTCTTTAAACCTTTTTTCATCCCTCCAACTCGATCAAGCACTACTCTGATAGATCCTATCGGGACTTTAGACAACCTGCCAACAAAACAAAACCCTACCTTACCAGACAACCCACCACTACTTAAAAAAAAAAAGACAACTTCACAACCTAAAAACACCACAAACACCACTCCCATCACTGCTGCAATTGAACTCTCATCTCCTGCATCAAAAAACTTAGCTCAAAGTGAAAAATCTAGTAAACCTCTGTTAAAAACAACTATGATATCATCAGAACAAAACAAACAAACAAGTGTGGGAAATAATACAAACAAAAAAATAGCATGGGAATTAATATAAACAAACAAACAAGCATAGGAAACAATGCATACAACCTAAGATCCCAGACCGTAGCCATGGTAATTGATCATCACAACATACCCAATCCATTTTCAGACCTCAACCAAGATAACCCCTGGAACTCAGATCTACAACAATCGACCTCCATCAAGCTTATATGACAAACCCAATCAAACAATGAGTTAGATAACCAGATAAACATCCAATCCAATACAACTATTGAATCACTCTCACCCTCAAAGAAATCATATAGCAGCATACTCACTTCTAATCTATCTAAAAAGAAACATATTAAAGATGACCATTCGGGTTTGGGCCCTATAGCTTACTTGTTAAGTTGCCAAACCCTCATAGTAATTAAGTTAAGGTCCACGGTTCGAGTCGGGCTGGAGGTGAAAAATACTCTGTAACCTAAAGGAGCCAAAATCGAA